ATTTCTGATTTCATTTTTTCCAGATCCCCTTTTGTTGCCAGTTCAGTGGGTCCAGGTGGTTGAGTATCAGAGTTTTCCATCTCATTTCCCTTTGGGGTTGCTGTAGGTGATCTGGAAGTCTGGTTTTGAGATTTATTTATGTGTTTTCTCATTTCGACTGGGGGGCCAGGGGGGTTGATATTGTCTTCGCAGCTCACCTCCTCTGAGCCAGGAGAGGTGGGACAGGGGCCGGGAGCGGCGGTAGGGATGGTGGCCTGGAAGCCCCTTCCTCTGGGCCAGGAATGGTGGGAAGGATGGCAGCCCAAAAGCCCTTTCCCTGTGGTACACACTTGTAATCCTAGGCCCTAGGGAGGTTGAGGCAGGAGCATCAAGAGTTTGAGGTTAGCCTCTTTTATACATGGTGAGAATGCTTCTCAAATAAAATAAAATAATAAAAGGAAAAGAAAAACAATGTCTGGAAGTTAAGTTTACTACATCCCTGACAGATAGATGCGCTTGATTAGAAAACTTGAAAAACACAGAAAAATATAAAAAAGACAATAGAAAACAGCTACAATTCCATTTTTCCAGTGGTTTCATTCTAGGCTTTAAACATTTTTAACTATATTAATTAATAAACTAGATACAATATGAATCTGGCTGGAAAAATATTCGTTCCTAAAAAGTGTTTACATATTTGTAAAAAGTAAAGGTCTGAATGTGGGGGGAAACCCCAAAATATCAACAGTGGTTGATTATCTTTGGTGGGCTAGGATTGTCAGTAACCATGCATTCTCTTTGGGAATCTGTATTGTCTACTATCTCCTTTATGACTATATCTTATGTAGTGTCATTTAAAAATGCTTATGCTTACACTCACAGCCTCTGCAGCTTCAGACCCCAGAGGACAGCAGGCAGCTGGACTAGTTATGAGTCCTGAGCCATCTAGGGTGCATGTGGCCATCTGTGTGGTCAGTGCTGTCATGGGGAAACTGAGGCACGACATAAGGTTTTGCTAAAAACTTGTGGGATGTGGGTCAGGCAAGGACTAACTTAGTAATAACAAAGGTAGTCACTGAGACCCTGTCCCCAGTGACTCGGTGAAATGCTACTAACCCTGAGGGAGTGAGAGGCACTGAACTTCAGGGCTGACAGTGTCTGCCACACTGTCAGGCTTCACCCTCGGGAGGGTCAGATCCTGCAGTCCCTGCCACACGCTCCTTACTCAGCTCTGCAGGGCCCAGGACCCCTCCCATCACCATGGCCCCTTCTTCACCCTTTGCACATGGGGTTCTCTCTGCCTAGAAGGCCCAGTGGCTGCTTCTCTGCCCAAAAGGTTTCTGCTCATCTCTCCACCCCGAGGGGCCTCTTAGGCTGGCCTTTCCCCCACCCTACTCCTAACCTGCTTTCTAGTCTGTGCACCCTGAGTGCCTGAGGGCAGAGCTGTGACATTTACCCTGCTCTTCCTGGTGAGTGACAGAATGAATTCTGGCTGCAGTCAGGAAGGCACTGGCCTAAGGCACAGAATGGGGCTGTGTGGCCCGACAGCTTGGGCCTTGGGATGCTGAAGACCCTTCATTGACACATTCCCAGCATTTAGGGTGGCATCAGGGAGGTGGCTGCACAAAGCAGCTCATACCTGCCCAACCTTCACCTGCCAGGCTCCTCCAGTCTGGGTCAGGGAGGCTCCTGGTAGTGGATATAAATACATAAATTGTGTGTGGTTAGCTGCAAAACTCAAAATAGGAAGTTTGGAATGCAGCTTCCCAGGATCCTCCACTCTGGAGTGCAGGTGCGGCTGTGGATGCAGGATGCAGTCCCTCACCCTGACTCTCCTAGGCCCCCAGAGCTCCCCTGGGGCTACCCCACCTCATCTAATGGCCCATTGTTCCAGTTAGGACCCCGAAGTGTGTTCCCCACTCTTGTGGTGTGGCCTAGTGGGATGCTTGGTGCAGCTGAGAGTTGACCCCAGGGCCAAGCTGGGGGACCTGGGCGGGGATGCAGTCAGGGGCAAGTGAGGGCTCCAGATTGAGGAGTGAGGAGGGTCTGGGTCTCATGGCACTGGGCCCTCACCACAGTCTCCTGAGCCCTGTTTGCCTCGGGACGTATCTTTGTCTCTGGCCTCTTAAATCCCTGCCTGGACGTCCATCTGTCAGAACAGGGGCCAGTGCAGGGCTGATACCCTCAGGAGGTGCCACACCCCAGTGCTCACCCAGGGGGGTACTTCTCTGCCAGTAACCAGGCAGGCCGCAGGCACCCAGATCAGAGGGCCTCGAAGCTGATGTCTCAGGGCTACTAAGCTGTGGGGCAAGATGGCTCCTCAGCCTAGACCAACTGCTTCAGGCCCTTTGCTCCTGTGGGTGGCTCAGGGGGGTGGGCAGACTCACCAGGACTCCAGAAGGCTGGGACTGCCCAACTTTGAGAGTCAACTCTTCTCTTCAGCCAGGTAAATCCCAGTCCTGAGCCTGACCATGGCACACAGTAGGGCTCAGTGGCTGTGTGACTCAAGAGGGCGACTCACAGCAGCAGGGACAGCTGTCTCCAGGGAGCCGTCCTCCACCTTCTGTGGTGACTGTCCATGGTCCGGCACCTAGGAAACTGTCTCCAGTGTCTAAGCAGGGCCTGGCCGCAGCCCCTCCTCACCCCTGTCCAGAGAGGTGGCCCCTCCCTCCACCTGCTGCCCGCTGAAGGCTGCCCCTGCTGCCATCTGCAGGCCGCTTCCTCTCAGTGCAACATCACTGCCAAGCTTGGGACTTTGGGGGCTTCAGATTCTCCTTTCCAAGTGGGGTACAGGTGATGGAGGCTTGAGGCAGAGGGCCATAGCTCCTCACCCATAGCTACGAGGAGGAGCCATCTCCCTACAAAGTGACCTGAAATAAACGGGAATAGAAGCAGAGTGATCAACTCTGCTCACTCAGGGGAGAGAAGGACACACCTGTGGGGAAGATGCCGCCCAGGGCACCTGTGGAGCCAGCCTGCAGCCAGGCTGGATCCTGCTCCTAACCGACTTGCTGCTCTGGGGGCGAGTCCAGGCTGGGTGGGGGAGGGTCAAGGTGTCAGCTGGGAAACAGGAATTTCCCGTTGGGTGCTGGGTTAGGCTGCCCCACACAAGTGAACAGGGCCAAGTTGGGGATCAGGTTTTGGAGTAGACGTCACTCAAACACAAGGTCTGTTTTATGAAAATTCCCGTTACAGACATCCACTGGCCAGCCCCGGGCCCACACTTGGCTGTGTGTGTGGGGCTCCCTGCTGGGCTGAGAAGGGGCTTGTCAGGCCAGGGCCCCACGCCATCACTTGTCGTGGTCCCAGCTCAGCCACAGCAGCTCCAGAGAGATGTGGACCTGTCCTCTCATCGGTAAAGCAGCGGTGCCCGAGTGGCCACCTGCTCTGCACTCGTGACAGCTGCCAACTCACCCGTCTCCGTGAACACAAACCCTGGAGGGGCTCTCCCCAGGGTGGTGGGGCCCCTCCCCAGATCTCAGGAACAAGCTGGGTCTAATGTTCTAGGGTCCTGGCTGTGCCAGGAAGACTTGGGCCAGAAGGTCACAGTGGCATTCCTGACAGTTGGATGAAAGCAGACCAAGGCCTGGGTGTCTCCCCAGCTGCAGCTCAGCCCTGTCCCTTTTCTTGTCTCCTTCCTGAGCAAGGGCAGGAGGTCTCCCACCCACCGGCCACGGGTACAGCCCTAGAAATCTAGCACAGGATCATTCAACACATCTCAGTTATATTATTGTAACAAACCAGTCAAAATTCCATTTTACAGTTAAATAGCACAGAAGACAGACAGTTTACTGTACAAGCAGGTTGTGCACAAGACACAAACACATCAAGCAAATGATAGTGCAAGGCAGCACCCCTCCCCCCAGCTTGGGACGATTTTCTGGAAGATGTGAGCATGACAGGTATGGACACCTTGGCATGACACTATGTCACAGAGGGTCTGCACCCAGCACAAACACACACAGACATCGTACCAAAACCCCTTCCTTTCCTTGTGCTATCCACCTCAGTGTTTGTGTGGCACACCGTTAAAGCAGCCTTGCGAATCAGGACCCATTCTCACCAGCCAGGAAGCGCGAACAGACTCAGCCTGGCCACCATCACTGCTCAGCAGTGGGTGAGAAAGGGCAGGGTCAATTTACTTCCTGTCCAGCCCTGATCAGGGGTTGGGCATCAGGAAGGGGCAGTCTCTGGGCCGGGGCTACAAAGTACTGGGCACTGGGAGTCCCAGGGCATCTCCCTCGCTGGCCATGGGAGGGAGTGAAGCAAGTGGGAGGGTTGTGGGTTTGTAGCTGCTTCCTGAGAAGGGGTGAGAGGCCCCCTGGGTGCAGGGAGTTGGCAGGACACCCTCAGCTGCTATTGTGAAGAGATGGAGAATACTGTTTTCCAGTGAGGACAGGACAAGAGAAACTGCAACAGGGGGGATCTGAGTAGGATCAGAACTTCCTCAGCTGTCAGAGACCGGATCTAGCTGTTAGAGTTGGGAGTAGCCTGGTGAGACACTTGCTGACACAGACCACTAGGAAGGAACACTGTAGGGGAGATTTCCACACCCACCGAGGATGTGGCTGAGAGCTATGAAGTCACATGGTGTTGAGCCTTTGTTTTCTCGTCCTTTTCCATTTGAGAACTCAGACACAAGGACCCTTGTAGACTCTTGTGTTTCTATCTGCAAGATGGAGGGGAAACATCTGGCCTCTGAACACGGGACCCTCACACAGCCTGCGCTATTCCCGCACTCCACTCTCCCCACCAGGCCCCACTCTGTCTCCTGGACAAATGTCTGGGAGCACAGACGTGAGGGTCCATGCCCCTTGCCCCACATCCCCCGGGTCTCCCGGCAGAGGTAGGAATGTGACAGGGTGGAGGAGGGATCTCCATAATTGTCCACTGGCAGGAGGCAGTGGGTGGGAGGTGGTGTCCACAAGCCCAAAGCACTACCTGCTAGAGGCCTCGTGCTCAAAAATATACCTGAAGCTGCTTTTTCTAAAATCACTTTTTAAAAACTGGATTTTGTTCAAGACTGTTTGCTTCAGGAGTGCAAACAGGTTAAAGAGAGTTATGTGGCAGGGATTGGAAGACCTGGCTGGGCCATCCCAGGAGGTGGGACACAGCTCGATTAGACCCAGGTGACAGGGACACAGACCTGACCCCACCATGCCACACCTCAGAGCTTTCTGCTGAGATCCACCTGACTCTCGCGTTGTCTCAGCAATGGCAACAATGAGACTCCCCCCAAGAGGGCAGAGGGGATGCCACGGGCTGGACAAGTGTGTGGCGGGTTGGTCAGGAACACCCTTCCCTGTTTTAGGGCACTGCCGCCACAGCCCACTTGCTCTGGGGCCTGGTGCCCTGGGCAGCTGCGATGGGCCAAGGGCTTCTGAGCTGCTAGGGAGGGCAGGAAGCAGAGCTGGGGGGCCTGCTCGGGTGCGTGCTCATCCCTTCTGCTGGCGATGTCCTCCCCATCTTCACAGCGAGGGGACCCCTCTCCGGGTGAGGTGGGGGCTTTCTAGTTCTGACTCAATGGGTGCAAATGCAGACTGGACTGGGCCCCAGGGCAAGGCCTCTGAGGAAGGCTGTGGTCTGCCGCCCTCTTCCTTGGCACGGGGGCTGACCCCGGAGGGCAAGATCCTTTCTTTGGCATGGAGATGGTGAGGTGGTTCTGGGAGGTGGCAGGAGTTTCCCTGGGAGCATAGGATGAGATGACTGGGACCAGGCTGGGGACAGCGTCCTGGAGGAGGTCCCCTCCCGCTCTGTACAAAGGTGTGGCTGGAGGGTCCTCTCTGAGCCACTGCAGCTCTGGCCCCTGGGGCCCTGGCTGCGCCGGAGCAGAAGTCCCACTGCTGCCCGGAGCCCGGGAGCGGGCCAGTCCCTGTCAGAGCACTGGGTCCTCTCCTCGGCGGGTGGTCAGTAGGGCCGCCACACGGCCTCGTCCATGCGGCCCGGCGTGCTCAGGGCTGTGGGCGAGTTGCTATGGCTGCCGTCGGCCTCCACGCCATCACCCTGGCCCAGGCTGGGGTTCATGAGGTTACCGGTGGCCACGGAGACGGTGCTGCTGGGGCAGGAGGTCAGCATGCGGGTGGGCGAGCGCTCGCCCCCACCACTGCCCCCACCAGCCACCATGGAGAATTGGTAGGAGCCCGAGGAGGCGCCGTAGTAGAGGTGGTAGGGTGCTGGGTTGGCCTGGAAGGGCCCGCTCTGGCTCTGCGCGGCCCCGGGGTAGGGCGGCGGGAGGTAGGTGTGGTGGAAGCGGCTGGTGGCCGGCATGCCTGTCACACTGAGGCCGCCAATGCTGGTGCCCGAGGGTGTGGCGCTGTAGGGGAAGGCCGCTGACATGGCGCCCGGGTAATGCATCCTGGGGTCTGGGAAGCGGCTCTCCGTGAGGGTGAAGGAGCGGTCAAACTGGCGGGGGTCGGAGAAAGGGTTCAGGTCCGAGGTGCCTGGGGGACAGCAAGGAGGAGGGTCAGCTGCAGCTGGAGACTGTCCCAGGGCCTTGCAGCCCGACCCTGGGGTCACGTCTCACGCCCAGAGAGTGGCACTGGGGCTCCCTGGCACTCTGTTCTTCTGGCCCTGGTGTCAAGACACCCAGTACAGACCCACTCAGAAAGCAGGTGCCTGGGTGGCCACAGCCTGATGGGGATCCTCATTCCCCGCAGGAGGGGTACAGGGGGGCCAGGTCACAGTCCGGCAGAGCCCAGGCTAAGGACAGGGGTGTTAAGAGAAGACAGTGGGTGAGGAAAGGCTCTCAGTGCCCTGTGGGATTGAGGGCTGAACTCGACTTCTAAAAATGAGGAAACCGAGGCAGAGGGAGGCTGCTCTTCCTGACACTGCACAGAAAGGACTAGCACTCACCATGAGGTCTTTCCTCCCTGCTGGGGCACGTGTGTGTGTGTGTGTGTGTGTGTGTGTGTGTGTGTACAATCAAGTGTGTGTCCCCACAGCCGTGCCTCTCCTGCCCAGCTGCAGCTCAGGCAGCATCCTGGCTGGCACCTGGTGTAGGTGCTGGGGTCACAGCAACTGCTTGCCACCCCCATCCCCGCCTGTGTCACCAAGGCTGCCCTGCAAGCTGGAGTTGGCTGGTGACCCTGCAGGGAGCAGATGCTGCCCTCACCGGCCTAGGAGCAACATGAAAAGCCAGCCAGTTGGGTCTGTGGGTCACAGAGTCCAGCTGGGGCCTGCAGTGGCTCCCCCAGGAGTCTGGCTCCTCGGTGGGCTCTAAGACTAGGGTGCTCCAGCTGCTATCCTCCATTTTTGTAATCACAGACCCCAAAACCTTGGAATTTAACTGGGCTTTGGGTCTGATTTTAACCCCATTCGATTAGAGAATGTGAAAATGGAGGCCCAGAGAGGCTGAGGCATGAAGGGTCACATGATGCAAAACCCCAAGGTTTCTGGTCCTGAGCCCCAATATGTATCTGATAGGTAGCTGTCTCATGTGTGAGGCTATGGGTCTCTGAAGCTGGACAGTTATCCTGGTTTTGACTCTCTACAGTAGCTGTGTATCTCTGGGTGAGTCACTTAACCTCTCTGTGCATCAGACTCCTAGGGACTATAACAGTTTGTAAGGACTGAGTTGGTTGCTACACTTACAGTGCTTAGAAGGGAGCTGTGCAGAGTGGGCCCTGGAGGCTTTGCTGCTGCTGTGATGCCTCCTGCTCTGGGTCCCTAGGACAGGCCTGCTCAGGACCTAGAGGCGAGGCACTCACCCTGCCTTCCTCGGACTTTGGCAGCAGTGGCCAGGTGGACGAGGGCTCCGTGGAATCTGTCTGGGCCAACCCCTCTGTCTCAGCCACCATGGAACAAGGGCCTGGGGGGGACCCAGGAGACCAAGCTGTCTCCCGGCCATGCAGGGTTGGTACCACCTGGGACTGGAGGACGGAGGCTTGGGCCTCTTGCTCCTGGTCTCCGCCTGGGATGGAGGTGACCCCAGTGGCTGTGTCACTTCTCAGGGCCCTGGGGCCTGCTCCCTCGGCAGGGCTCTGACCTGGGGCTACCATGCAGTGTGCTACATGGGAGACGGAGCTGTCTGGTCCCGGCTGCTCGGTCAGACTTAGCTGCGTGTCAGGGCGCTGGTGTCCGCCCACATCTAAGGACACAGGGTAGCAATGCCTCGAACCAGACGAGGAGGAGGTGGAGACCCAAAACTGAGCAGAGTGGAGGCAGAGCCGTCACCTGCCAGGAACCCCAGCCCTGGGCCTAGTGTGCGGCCCTCACAGACACCCGGCTCTGCCCTGTCCCCTCCTGGGCTCTCCCTCAAGGCTCCTGCACACCCCCTGCAGCTCCAGGAAACCTGAGCTGGCTGGGCCCCTGCCCAGCAGCCAATCCCAACAGTGGAAGGAAATGTTTATTTTCTTCTCCAAATTGCCGAGCTGTGCTGCCCAGTGGTGGCTGAATGGGCCCTTTGAGCAGTGAGAAGCCCCCATTGTGGGAGGCTGCAGCCAGGGATTGTGGGCTGGGGTACGGAGGGGCTGGGGCCCTGGCACTGCTTGCCAGTGTCCAAAGTTGGGAGGTCAAAGGAAGTGGCAGTGGAGTGTCCTGAGGGCATCCCCAGGATGGGGCCTAAAGGCAGAGGCTGGTCCCATCAGAAGGGATCACCACATCCCTCATACCTGGGGCTGCCAATGGCCCCCCTGCAGAGGGATCCTCTGACAGATGAGAAGACTGACAGGCTCAGAGAGGTTAAGTAATTTGCCTACGGTCACACAGCCAATGCAAGTCAGAGCCAGAATGCCTAGCCAGCTCCATCTGACTGCAAAGTTGACACCTCTTCCCTGGTTTGGGTGTTAAGTGCTCTTTCTCTCATTTCAAAGGGAACAGGCCTGGAGGAGGGCCCAGGGCCACAAGGTGGCGAACAGGGGTGGAGGGCTTATCAGGATGCAGCAGCAGGAGGACTGGGTCAGCTCCGCAGCCCTGGGACTGGACCTCCTCTCCTCACTGCCCAAGTGGAGGCAGGGGCTCTGGCTCCCACATGCATACCAACTATGGGAGAGTGTGGCCCTCCTTCTCTGGGAGCTGGCAGACAGGAAGCTGCTGTGTGCCCTGCTGGGCTTTTCTGGCTGGGCCCCAACACTCTGTCAGCCTGGCTCTGGCAAAGGCAGGGAAAGACTCAGCATGGTGGGCTGCTGTAACTGCACTGATGCTGGCCTGTGGGGGACAGGAGCAGGGACAGCTACTGACCAGTGACCTCCCAGCACCTCTTTAGGCCAGACCCCCAACCTGGAGCTCCCCAGGGCTCAAGAGCTGAGTGTCTGAAACTCACTGACCATGGGCTCAGAGAAACTGTGCTGGACTGCTTCTCACCTCGGGGGTCCAGCTTCCTGAGCCTGGGTTACAATGGAGGTGTCTTCTCTTCATCTGAGAGGCTGCGTCAAGCCCGGCACATGGCAAGGGCTGGAACAAGACCTCCCTGGGCAGGGGTCCCAGTGGGACCAGTTCAGCACAGCAGGTGGAGGGGCAAGGAAGGAGGGGACAGGCAGGAGCCCTGGGCTCTTCCTGCTCTGGGCCCCATCCTCAGGCCTGCAGAAGTACAGAACACTAGAGAGACTTCGGACCTGGACACCGACAGGCTGTGTGATCCAAGGGTGGCCCGTGACCTCTTCAGCCTCTGTGCACTCATCTGTCAAATAGGTTCTACCCAGGCCCTGGTGGATTGAGAAGAATGGGCCCTAGCCTCTGCCCTGGCCTGTGCTGACAGCCCCACCCCTGCCAGGCCCAAGCGCCAGCTGCCCACAGCCCCTGTGCTTTGGCTCAGCATCTGTCCACTTGCCTTGCACTGGTCATGGGCCAGGCATCTCTGCTTGGGAGGACCTGCCTGAGGTCAGCTGTGGTTGTGCTTACTGCCTTCATCTAGGCAATGGGGACAGAGTCCCAGGCCTGGTCCCCTCCTGGCTCTGTGCCTCCCTGTCCCTCGCCCAGGCCTGGCACCTCACTTTACAGTGTCTAAAGTTTGTTTGAGGGCAGTTATGTCATCTGGACATCAGCTCAACCCTGGGCAGGGAGCCCCCCCACTTCCTGATGAGAATGCTGAGGCTGGGGGAGGGATGCTGTGTACAGAATGGGGATGTGCTGCTCCTGGCTCTGTGGACATGCCATGCCCAGTTTTGATATAAGTACTGCAGGATTCACCCTACCTCCTCCAGGAGGCATCGTGCTCCGGAGGGCAGGGGCTCTGTCTGGTCATGCTTACAATGGGGTCAGGCACCACATGTGTTTGCAGAGTGAATGAATGAAGGTCTAGACATCTAGGGTGCCAGCTGCCTCTTCTACAATACAAAGGCAGTGGGTGATCTTTGGGAGGGACTCTGATCAGGGCACACGACCCCCCATCCTGGTTCTCCACCCACCACTCCTGCCCCTCTTTGGTCCATTCCTTACCTTGGATTGGGGTCTGGGCCTGGCTGCTGAAGTGGCTGGCGGTGCTGATTGAGCCTCGGGGGCTGGGTGTGCTCGGTGTCACCCGCATGCGCAGCCGTTCCAGGTCTCCGAAGCGGTCAGGAAATACCTTGGTCTGGTCTTCCATCTTCTGTCGGTGCCCTGTGGAGGCATGGAGCCTATGAGTCACTGCTTCCTAGGGCCTCAGAGGACACAGAAGTGCCTCATATCGCTGGGAAATTCTTCCTGAGGTCTAACTTTGGGCGGCTGTGGGGGACCCTGAGGTCATCACCCTGCTCCCGCTAAGGTTCTCAGGAGACTTCCTGAACAGAGGATGGTAGCTTCGGGCCATGGTCTCACTTTAACTACAAGGGCTGGATAATCACTCTGACCCCAGGGCTCCGGGTCACTCAGCTAGTTAGATGTAAAGTCAGTACAAGAACTCAGTGGTGCACCCCTGTAACTCCCAAGTACTCTGGGTGGCTGAGGCAGGAGGACTGCAAGTTCAAGACCAGCCTGGGCAACTTAATGAGACTCTATCTCCAAATGAAAAATATAAGAAGGGCTGGGGGCTGGGTGTGGTGGTACATGCCTGTAACCCCAGCACTTGGGAAACTGAGGCAGGATGGTCATCACAAGTTTGAGGCCAGCTTGGGCTACACAGTAAAGCTCAAGGCCAGCCTTGTGAGACCCTGTCTCAAAACAAACAAATAAATACCAAAAACCAAAAAGGGGTTGGGATATGGCACAATGTAAAGACCCTGGGTTCAGTCCTCAGTACCATTAAAAAAAAAAGACATGAGTTCAGGATTCAAATCAAAGCCTGTGACCCAAAACTCTGTAGCACACTGTGCAGTACAAGGGGAAACTGAGGCTACAGGCACGAGAATAGTAGCTTAAGCAGGTTCCAGAGGCAAGCGGGGAGAGAAGCCAGGGTTGCGGCTGCCCTCCATCCCCGTCTGCAAGAACAACAGGAAGAGAAGGCCCTGTTGGCTGTTTTAGGCCCTGGGCCTCAGACAGAGGGGCTTCACCAGGATGCCGGGCAGAGGCTCGGGACCGTGCGTCCAGCTTGGGACATTACACTGAACACTGCCAGGATCTCCCACACCCCCTCTCTGCTGGCCCGCGCCAAGGGACCCAGCCTCCCCTCTCAGGCCCCAGAGGTGCTTGCAGTGTCAGTGTGGCCTTGCCCCTGCTCCCTGCAGCCTGATGACACTTTTGAGAGGGACATCAAGCTTTCAGGGACCTCCCTAGTGTCTCTCTCTCTCTCTCTCTCTCTCTCTCTCACACACACACACACACAAATGGTCTTTTTCAATTAATCACTTTACATCCCACAGGCAGCGCTTATGAATGAAATTTTCGAAAACCGAAGCATAGCAGCCAGGCTCTGACATCCCTAGGCCCCTCTGTGACCAGCGTGGAAAACACAGAGGCTCCCAGGGAGCTTGCAGAGTGCTCTCAGCCCAGGAGGGCTTATCCTTCTGTCACTTTCTTTTTGAATGGCTCGCCTTGCAGATGAGTTGTTTCCTTATCCCTGAAGTGGGGAGTCACCAGCCCACAGGAATGACAGCTCCCTGGGCCATCCAGGGTGGTGGGAACTCAGCAAGTCTGCAAGGACCGCTGGGCCACTGGCTGTCCCTCATCCACTGGGAGTGCAGCTCACCTCACCATTCCTCTCTTCCATGAACACTTAGCTTCTTCCCAAGTTGCTGCTTTTGACCCCAGGAGCAGCCCTCTTCCCACTTCAAGTCCAAGGTTTCTCCAGGGCAGATGTCAGGAACAGGCTGCACCCATGGAGGGTGGTGCATTCCTGCCTGTTCTGCCTCCATTACTCCTGAGGGAGGCAGCCAGGCCCTCTTTTATAAATGAGAACTACGAACCAGAGAGACAGAGAGCTTCCCTGAGGTCACACAGCAAGGAAGGTGGTGGAATTTCCTGGACCTGAGCCCCTTTAGAAAAGTGTGGGGAAGTAGTTAAGAGGGAGAAGTTTGCTGAGGTCTTGGGTCTGGAGTAATGTGTGATTTTTAAAAATTGATAGAAGAGACAAATAGGTGGAATTGCACTGTTCTTCCTGGGGCTGGACAAGCTATTTCCAGGGAACTGGAAATCTGTAGGGGTGACTGGGGACCACTGCTGGGAAGGAGAGAACAGAGCTGGAGCCTTAGAATGGACCTCATTTCTGATTTTCAAAATGGGGACACAAAGGGTTCTGGGACCCATAGACCCCTGTACATCTGGTCACAAGTTCAAGTGGGCACCTGAGAGCCTCAGAAATGTGCAGGGGCTCCTGGGGGCCACAGGGGCCTAGCAGGTCACTGAGAACCAGGGAACCCACATTCTCCTCTGACGAGGCCCCAGTCTGGGCTCTGACAGGACTCTGCGGCAGGGCTGAGAACACTGGGCCTCTGGCCAGGTCCCACTGCTGTTCCCCCAGCTCCAGACTCTTGGCAGCAAATGGGAAACCATAGGCTGGGGACACTGGCTGGAGCTGGAGCTGCATGATGACCACGAGAGGTGAGTGGGGTGGGTGGGGACTGGGGCAGGTGGAGAGGATGTGCCCTGTGGCAGCCACTGCTGCCAGAGCTTCCCAGGCCAGCCTCAGTCTTCAGCCCCAACAGGCCTTGAGGGAAAGGAGGCTATCTGGCTGCTGAGGACACTGGAAATGGCAGGGAACTGAGGAGAGGCTAGGGGACAAATGGATCCAGGGGAATCTCACTAGCAGGCCTGCCGGATGGTTACAGAGACCGCAGACTGATCTGACAGCAGCTTGGGTGCAAAGGATCTGGGTGCCTTCATCAACCACAAGGTTGAAGTGAGCCAATGGGGCTCCATCAGAGCTGGTGCAAAACCTCAGGCTTTGTCATTATCATCACTGGTGGATAAAGTCCCCTGTTTCTGAGTCACACCGTGTAGAGTGTTTACAGACACTCCTGCACCAAAGGAAGGAGGGTGGGGTTCAGAGCCAGCCCAGGGGCCTCACTCAAGTTGCACTCTCTTCCCTGCCTCAAGCTGTGGTGTCCCCATCACACTGCCCTCAAGGGTCTAGGTGCTGGCCCCACAGGGTCTGTGGACACCTCCCACCCGCACAAGTCACTGCTGGCCCTGCTCAGCCGGAGGCTGAACTAGAGATCAACACGCTGAAGCCAGGGTGCTGACCTGTACCAAGATCACAGAGGCAGGACGGCAGGCAGGTTCGCACCCGCTCCCGGGCTCCTTCTCTGACTTTCCTTTTTGCTCCGATTGCTGAGATGGGGCCACTGAGGCTGTAAGACAAGCTTGCTCAAGGGCCACGGTCTGGGGCTATGAATCAAGAGACCCCAGCCCAGAGCGAGCGCTCCCCAACATGAGGAGAGGCATCTTCCCTCCTCTTGGGGATGCTTCCTTGTGGCTGTGGAGCACTGAAGCCACTGCTGGGGAGGGGCAGAAGGGAGCCCAGGCAGCCCCACATGGCCAGGGCGCCAGAGAGTCTCTGAGCCACGGGGCCTGGCCTCACACTGGAGTGGAAGGAACGGAAGTGCCTATGCTGGGGGAGAGGAGATGGGCCAGAGAAAAGGCCTCTTTTATTCAGTTTCCTCACTGAGAGCTAGGTGGGGGCTGGCCCAGTTTGCTAGTCACCTGCGGCCCTGCCTCGGTGCCTCAGTTTCCTCTCTGCATAGCTTGCTCACTGAGGCCCTCTCCCTCTGAAAGTCCTTGACTTAAGATTGCAAGAATTCACCACAGGTCAGGCTGGCTACCTGCACCCTACAGAGGAAAGAAGGCAGGGCCGTGTCCCCACACCTCATGCTGCTCCCGTGCCCAGGTTCCAGAATATTCTCTGCCCCCACTTCAGAGCCTCCACTCAAGACAGCCTCTGTGGGAATCTTCTCTTGTCCTGTGAGGCCCAGACCAGGAGCCCCTACCCCAGGAAGCCCCCTTTCTCCCGCCACTGATTCCCAGTAGCTGCAGGAGTGGAAATACTGATTGCAGTCACTGCTCTATGAGCACTTCCTCCGTGGCAGTGTCTGAGCAGCTCATACGACTGCCTTCTTTCTCCTTGCAGCCTCTTCCCGAGAAAGGTCTGCTGCTGTCCCAACTTCACAGGTGAGGAAACTGAGGCTTGAGACAGTCTTCGATGTGCTCAAGGCACAAAGAGGGGATCTAGCCACCTGTGCTCCCTGGAGCCCACCACTCAGGAAAAGGGCCTGGGTTTTGAAAACTGGGTTCAGCCATGGACACAGAGCTGCTCTCTGCAGGGCCAGGCTGGGCCTGGGCACAGGAAGGTGAGAGCCTCTCAGTGGGCTCCAGCAGGGGCTCTTGTCCCACTTGGAAGCTCAAGGTTGAGAGTTTAAGTCTCTGTCAAACCCTGCTATAACCCACCAAGTGCTTCTCCTCCTCAGGGCCTCAGTTTCCACATCTGTCCAGCAGTTATCATCCTGTCTAACCCCCAAGGGTATGGATGAGCCGGAAGACAGATCACAAAGTTCTGAAAGTGCAGTACTGAAGGGGTAGGGGATAGGTGGACAGGGAATGCCTGGAGCCCGAGGGGCCTGGCCTGGGCAGCGGGGCTTATGCCGCACACAGCTTCCCCAGCACAGCTTTGCTTACTGACCTATACCCTCGCCTAGGGGTGGGCAGACCTCAGCCTGTGCCTCCTGAGAGTCCAGCATCCCCAAGCCCAAACCTGGTCACAGTCAGTTACCCCTATGGTCCTGGGAAAATCTTTCTCTCCCTTTGGGCCCCAGCTGTCTCATTTGTCAAGAAGAAGCTCTGAGGGGGAGGGTGGGTATGAGAACTAAACAGCCCACCAGGCCCTGTCCTTCAAGGAAGGTGCCCAGGGTCCCAGCTCTGGCTTGGCCACCTGCTCTGAGGTAATAGCTCCTCTTCAGCAAATGTAGCAGGATGGCTGAGCCCTGAGCATGTGATGAGGGCCAAAGCAGAGGAAGAAATGGGCCCTGCAGGCTGGGTGACACTGCTTATTCCAGGCTGGGGGACCCCTTACTACTCCCTATGGCATCCCTCATTATCCCTGCCCAGCCAGCATGGCTCCCAGCATGTGCCTGGTGCTTCTGGGGAGAACCGAGAGGCCATCAGGGTCAACCCCTGCCCCGTGCTGCCCAACACACACCCCCGGATAGGAGTGTGACCATTCTAGTGGTGTCTACAGTGTGACGGGCACTGTGCCAGGCGGGTCACATGTGTCATCTCCAAGGGTCACAACCCTCTGAGATGCTGCTATCCTCTCCCCCTTTTATGGACAGGAAAGGGGAGGCATTTAGTCAAGGCCACATGGTGAGATTCAACCTGGAGTGGCCAGCTGGCACAAGGTCTGTGCTTCCGAAGACCTCCAAGGGAGGACAGCCAGATCACCTGGCCACGAGCTCTACCTGGCAGGAGACCAGCCGAGCAGCTGTCCCCCAGCTGGGATGAGCAGGAAGCACAAAAAGGAGAAGCAGAGCTGGGCAGGGCCATGGGCACAGAGACGTCGGCTGGGCAACACGGTGAGCCCTTCACCCATCTGATGCCACTTCTGGCGAGGTCGCGCCCCAGACACAGGAGCCACTGTCTGTGCGGCCATGGGTGGGGCGCCAGCCCAGGCGCTCTGCGGCCTGTCAGGAGATTTACACCGGACTTGGAACAGCCGCTGGAGTGGCAGGCGGGTGCTGGCCCAGGGTGGTCCACTGTGAATCGGCCCCCTGTGAGCAGATGAAAGCCCTTGGTGGCTGGGCAGGGAAATGGGCTGGCAGGGGGCCAGCGGGCAGGAGGCAGCTCCCTCCCCTTCCAGGCCTGGCCTGGGCTTCATTAGGGAATCCAGGAGGTCTGAGGTTAACCCCTTCCCTCCTGCTGGGCTGTGTCCCCTTCCTCCCCTAGGCCTGCGCCCAGGTTGGGGGACACTCCTGGCCTGTTGGGGTCCTGGTCCCTGGGGGCCAGGAGCAGTGGCCTCTCCCCAGCCAGGCCTGCCTCCCTCCCTCTGCTTCCCCACACCTGCAGCCCAGTACAAAACTGCAGCAACATCAGTGACTCCCAGGCCAGCTGCAGGCTTTGGTCACTCTTCCAGACCATGCCAGGTCCCCTAGCAGCCACCTGGGCTCTTAGCTCTCTTCCTTCAGGGCCGTCGAATGTCACCTCCGTGGGGGCCTCCCCACTGTCCCCAGTGGCCCACCCTCCATTCTCCAGCCTTCCCCCAGCTTCGCTTGTCTCCATGGGACTTCTGCTGCTTAAAATTAACTCACTGCCACGCATTTACTAAGCACCTACTACATGCTTGTGTCTGTATCCCCAGGGTCTACACCATTGCCAGGCAAAACAGAGACAAGAGCCTCCATCCTTGTGGAGCATAAAGAATAGTGGAGGGGGATGAATAATTAATGAAATAAATGAGAACTACATAGCACCCCAGGTGATAAAACATTCAAGGCAGAGTTGAGGCCAGGAGGATCAGGGGAGAGGTGAGGGTGCTCTGTGCACAACCTGAAGCAGGGTGGCAGTGAGAAGGCCTCAGGGTGGGAAGGAGTGAGCCATGCAACTGAGGGTGTTAGCGGGGAGTGTTCCTAGCAGGAGGAGCGGCAGTGCAAAGGCCCTGAGGCAGGAGTGTGCCTGGCAGGAAGCTAGGGTGGCCCAAGTTGGGTGACAATGGAAGAGGATGCAGGAGAGGATGACACAGGGGTCATTGGCACAGACTGGGGCGGGGAGGTTCGGGACCATAGGGACAGCAGGACAGGTTTCCATCTCTTCCCTCTGTACTTCGAGGCCCAGGAGGTTGAGAACCCACTCGGATGGATTCATGGTGGTGTCTCCAGCATGTGGAACAGTGCCTGGCATATGACAGATGCCCAGGAAAATATTTGTGGAAATCATTCCATGTACCTTTTGGGGAAGAAAGGGGCCAAGGGAAGGATCAAGAACCTGGGTCTGACCCTTTCAACACCAGCACCTGCTGAGCCCAGCAGACGGGCTGAGCTGTTCCCAAACTGCGGTCAGCACCAGCTTTGTTGGGCACTGGCACCTCCTCCTGCCCCATCTTGGATCTGGCTCAGCAACCTGCATTTTCACCAGCCCCCAGTGACTCTGAGGAACACCAGCATTGAGAACCTCAGAAACCAAGGCCACATCAGCAGGAAGCCACCAAGTCAGCCTCAGACCAGCTGGCCACCCGGCTGGAGGCTGGGCACGCTCTGCAGGGCACTGGGGGGGAACGACCCAGCCACATAACCCACAGCCGGGCCTCGGGGAGCTACAGACCCTGCTCCTGTGCTCCCGGGGGTTTCCCCTGCACCCGCCCCACCCTGCACAGGCTCAGATCTCACAGGGTGCTGAGCTGCAAAGCAGGAGAAAAGCCCCCAAAGGAACTCCTGGGGTGCAGAGACTCACGATGGCACCAGAGGGTTGCAGGCACTTCCTGTGGGGCAGGCACCAGAAACTCACTGAACATCACAACTCCCCAGAACAGACACTAATGCAATTCCTGTTATAGACCTGCACACGGGTGGGCAGGCCTGGGCCTCTCTGAGGCCCTGATGGGAGCTCCAGGAGCCCTGAAGTTCACCTTGGGCAGCAGCTCTGTCTCCCTACCTCCCCCTGGGCGTGCTGAGGCTCAATTCATGGAGACTCTGCACCCTGCCTGGCATACTGGGCTATTCAGTGACCACAGTTGTGGAGCTGGTCTCTTCCCTCTTCTAGATGGGGAAACTGAGGCCAGGAAAGGGGAAGGGTTTGTCTACAGCCCCAGGTTGAAGACCAGGAGCAAGTCTGTCCTAAGGATGGGGGATCTGGAGGGACCGGCCTCTCCCAAACCTCTGCTTGTCTCCTTGACATCACCTGCCTGTCCTGTGCCACCCCTGCCCCTACCAGCTCACCCCTCAAAAGGCCATGCAGGCCTGGGGGACCCGAGGAGAGAAGTGCAGGCAGATGATTCCAGTGGGGACTCTGGAGGGCAGGGCTGAGCCTCTACACTCACACGGGGCCTTGGGAGGGAAGGCCAGGCAGCACTGGGCTGGGCAGGCTGAACATGGAGGGTACAGGCTCAGCGTGGCTCCCTGGGACTTGCCTAACATGCTCCAGACCCCTATCATGTGCCTCTGTGGCTTTGCCCTTCTTTTTGGAGGGGCCCTAACTACTACATCCTCACACTGAACCCAACTGTGGCTCCTGTGCATCCGGGTCCTGCTTGGGACTCAGAGCACACATCCTCTCCCTTCGTGACCATGCCTCTGTGACCAGGCTGGGGCCAGCAGCCACCCTGGTGCTCCCTGGGTAGGGGTGGGGTACCAAGGAGACCAGAAAACCAGGGCCAGTGACCTGGAGAACCCTCTGTCTGCCAAAACCATTACATGTTGCCACCACTGCCAGGCCTGCAGGGCATTGGTGTCATCCCACTTCGTGCAGAAGGGGTCTGAGGCCCAGGGGGTCAGTGGCTTGCCCAAGATCACACAGGGATAAAGTCCTGGCTAAGGGAATGGGTTGCCAGGTGTTTGAGGTGCTGTACACATTTTATTTCAACAGCATCATGAGGTAGCTGGTTATGGAAAGCCATTTTCCAGACAAGAAAACTGAGGTATGACAGTGTCTTCCCCGAGGTCCCTCAGTCGGGCAGGCTGGGTCAGCAACCTGCTCTCTGTGACCTGGTGGCCTATGGATCACAAAGGCTCCCCAGTCATCACCACCTTGAGACTCTTGAGCTCACCCACCCAGTTCACAGATGATTAAACTGAGGCCAAAGAGCCAACAGCACTGGCCTGGGGTCCAGAGCCCAGAGCCCAGAGCATGAAGCTGTCCATGTCTGGTCCCATCAGGAAGAAACGGGCAGGAATTTGGCCAGAAGTGCTGGCTGACCTTGAGTGGGAGCTCAGGCCAGCTAGAGGACCCTGAGAGGCCCCGAGGGAAGCTCTCCCAGAGCTACCTGGCCCAAAGAGCCTGTCCTCCTGCCTCAGTGGGTGAGAGGCTGCCTCTGCAATGCACTCCCCACATCTGACATGTGTGAGACCCCACAGGGCCCAGGCCCAGGTCCTCTCCTCCTTGCAAGGAGGGTAACCCTTTGCTGCCTGATGATCCCATGCAAAAACAAGCACGAAAGGGTTTCTAAATTTAAAGTACTGCACTTACAAAGGGGTCAGGCCAGCCCTCAATGCAGGGGGTTGCAAAAGAGAAGAGCTCTGGGACAGAGCTAGGAAGCAGCCAGTCCAGAGCAGGTGGGTTGTTCTGCTGCATTTATTCATGCACTCATTCGTCCAGCCAGCACAGACCTGGGGCTTCCCCTCCAGCTTCTCCAGTCTTGATCTGCAAACTCGAGGGCCTTCAGCAGGCAGCAGGAGTTAAATGCAGACTTACTTTGACTGATCAGGGTTCCCTGCACAAAGGAGGTGCTCAGCACCTGTCTGCAGAATCAAGTCTGCACTATGGGTCTCATTTGTGTGGATCCGGGGGCCAGAGTGGCAAAGGTCCTGAGACTCGAGCAAGGCACATGCTAAGATTCAAAAAAGGGTTTCCAAGGAGGGGACCTGGCCTCACAGCTGGACAAGCTCCTGCCTTTTGATCACTGCCTGCCACACATACCCTGGCCACTGGCAGAGGAAGCTGGCATGGAGAGCATACCTGATCTAGCCTCCACCCCAAACACACCTGGATATGAAGCTTCCTCCTCTCCCTCCTCTCCCTGTCCCCTCTGCCCCACTAGGCAGTCAGCCCACAGGTTGGGATCCCCCAGCTGGTTCTATCATCCAGTCTTAGCCCCCAGCTGGCCTCCGTCTGGAGCTGAGGCCAGAGGGTTTAGAGTCTGCAGCAGGCACATGGTATGTGTAGGGTGCAGAGCCGAGGACTGCAGCCCTACCGGTGTTTCAGGGACCTGGTGCCGTGTGTCTGACTTTCCTGCCCACCTCCCCTGCCTTCCTCCCAGCCCAGGGCTTAGGGGCTCTGTGGCACTTACGTCTGGGCTCCCGGGGTCCATCCACAGTGACCTTGATGGCTCGGTGGTAGGTGGCCACTTGGGTGGGGTTGGTGAACACAGTGATGGTGAGTGTGAAACTCTTCCCTGGGGAGATAAAGACAGGAAGTTGGCTCCTGGTGCTTTCACAATACCCTGGTCTCCTACTTATCCTTCTGCAAGGAACCTGATTTCTTAGAAGAGGCAGGATTCTCCCCTTTGAGCCTGGAAGACGAGGCTCTGGCTGAAATTCAAGCTGCTGGGCTTGGCTTTCAAGGCCCCCAGGAGCCTGGGACTAATTCTACCCCCCGTTTTATTCCTTCCCTGCGTCTGGGCCTTTTATTGGTGCTGTTCATACTCTTCAGAAACCCACATAATTTTGCAGTGGGGAGCAAGGTTAGGTGTGTGTGTTAATATATATACAAACATATACACATAGGTATGTGTATATACACATTAGCATTGTTTTTGTCAAAGTAGTAATCTTTGTAGGAAAATCTGAGGATACAGAAACTATAAAACAAGAAGAAACCGCCCCCCTCAACAGTTCCATGAGCCAAAAATAAACATCATTACCATTTGGGCATTTTTTCTTCCAATCCTTTTTGTACAGGTCTGTGTATTTACACAGTTGCACTATAATATATATTTGTATACCCTTTTTTCATTTAACAACACATCAGAAATACTTTGCCATGGCATTAAAAGTTCTTTCTAAACTTCATTTTTTTAATGGCTATAAAATATTTCAAGTTACAGAAGCCTCCTCTTTTATTTATCTCCTTGTAGGCCCCAGGGTCTTTGCGTCGCTGCCAGTTTCTGGCTGGCGTGTGTGGCCCAAGCTAGAGGAAGGCTGATCTGGATGCTGCAGACTTTTCATTTGCAGACACAACTGTTATTTCCAGAACCCTGTTCTATTTTTAGACAGACATTTGGCTCCAAAATCTCCATTCAAAATTCCTCAGAGAGGAAATAAATGTTTTAAAATAATTTTTTTACCATTGAAAATAAAATAAAAATGACCTTCTGTTTTATAAAAATCTTTGTCTTCATTTCTGCTTATTTCCTTAGAGTAGATCTGCAAAAGCGGTGAGTGATCTGTCACATCTCTTGGGGTGAGGTGACTCTCAGACTCCCAGGTCACACGTCCCAAACAAGGAGAGGGCCAATGTCACCTCATGCCCTCAGCTGCCCAGTGTCTATCAAGATGGAAGATCTTCAGACTTTGCATTTTCTTTGCTCTTCTTCTGTTATGAGTGAGACGGAAACCTTTCATATGGTTATCCATCATAATCCAACACCAATTACTGCTTTAGGTCCTTTATACTTTCACCATCTACTAAGCTGGTTAACACTTTTCATGTTGTCTCGGTGACACAATCAGCTCCCCCAGGGTGCTGGCCTTCTCCTTTCTCTAACACCGAGGTCTTCTCCATTCACAGTTCTGCCTCTCACTGGTGACTTCTGTTTCTAGGCTGAGACAGGCTTCTCATGCAGAGAGCTGATAAAGGTTTACTTTGAACAAACAGTGCTCCTTCTGCTGTCTATGGTGATCCTGTGACTGGCCTGGGAGTTGGCAGGTTGGTGTAGGCTAAGCCGAGGGTTTTCCCACAGGGAACCCAATGTTACTTGCGCCTAAAGTAGGAGACATCCTCTCAGACTGTACTGGGTTACGTTCCGAACCTTTGTGTTATACGAGATGCGGGTTTCCCTGATGTCCACATCAGACTTCACCTCCCTCCTGTGCCTGGATACCCCTCTTTCTACCCCTGCCTCCACCTGTCACAGGCTATTCCATTCCTCTGGTGGCTCCAGAGCCAGGCAGGGGTGAAGCTCAGGGTGGGGCATGTCTTATGGCTCCCTTTGCATGGCTGGGTACTCACGGGTCGAGAGATCAAGTGAAAATTCTAGCCTCAGAAACAGGAGAAGCCTGAACAAAATTAAACCAGCCAGGCACAGGGGCTGTGCCAAAGACTCAAGGGCTTCTGAGACGCAAGGGGTTTAAAGCTGAAGTGTGACAGAGTTGTAGCTCCACTGGGAACTAGCAGGACTTCTCTGATGTCTCCTGAGCCAGCAACTGTAGGCCAGGACAGAAACATTAAGGCACTTGCTCCTGAGTCCCCAAGTCTGAACAAACCTGGCCCTTCACTCTCAGGCCACAGGGATCTCAGCATGACTTGAAACAGGAAGTGCAGGTTGTCCAGAGAAATGCAGGACAGGTGGCCTCCAAATCCCTGCCACCCACTCCCCTGGATGCTCCTGCCCTCTGGTGCCTTCCTTCCCTCAGAGGTTACTTCTTTCTCAAGTCCTCCCCCTCTGAGCAGCTGAACACTCCCCAGGATGGGCGTGTCCCTGACTTCTGAACCACCCCGCCCTTTCCAGCACCTCTTTGGTTCTGGGCCAGGCTGATGGTAGTTTAGGTACCATGGAGCGCTAGCAGCCTGAGTCTGGACACTGAAGACCAAGGAGCCTGACTCCCTGTAACAGCAGCCTGGCCACAGCTGCACTGGACAGCTTACTAAGGTGCACTTCCAGGTCTGAACAAAAAAGACACCTTCTGTGGGAGGCTTTTCCTGGTCACTTTATTTCAAGAGGCTTTTGGGGGGCCGCAGGTGTAGCTCAGTGGTAGAGAACTTGCCTAGTAAGCACTAGGCCCTGGGTTCCACCCCCAGCACCAAAATAATAAAAACAATAATAAAGTAGGCATTTAAAACTTGGCCTCCATAGGGAATGCTTAGCATTGAGCAGGCCAAAACTGGAATAGGAAGAAAAATTGCAATGGTATTGTCCCCAATCTCTTAACTGAAACAGCCTGTCTTTAAGTAAGAGCTCAGGCCACAAACCACAGAGGTGTTACAGGCTATACCTGTGACCTTGCCGCCACAGACAGGACAGACATTCACACAATACCTTATAGCCCTTTCAGACTCCTCTAAATATCTCTCACGCTCGTCACACTTTAAAGTCATGGCCACCACTGGAACCATTCCTGGAACTCTTTACTTAATACATTAACAAAGCAGCATATTTTTGCAACTTTTTGAGCATTCTGCTATTTAATGGAGCTGCTTCCCATGCTGCAATCCTTTGTGTTTTCTTTATGACAGAAGCCCCTCGATCTGCAGCCTCACAGGGCTCCCTCTCTTTGCTTTCTCCAATTCCCGCACTGCATAAATTTCTCCCACAGTGCTCATCATTTTAAATAATCCATCCAACTTTTTTTATTTTTCTTTGTCTCCCTCTGCTAGACTCTAAGCTGCCTGGGGGCCAGAATTTTTGTTCTGTTCACTGTGTCCCCAGCCCACAGAACAGGATTTGGCACATAGTAGGTGCTCAATAAACACCTGTTGATTGAATTAAGAGCAGAGATTACAGCTCACTTTGTACAGAGGTGAAGACTGAGGCTCACAGAGGGGCATGGAATTGGTGAGGACACACAGCATCCAGGCAGAACCCAGAGAGGTTAGAATGTGCAGCAGCCTGCCTTCCACAAGGGTACTAAAGTCCTGCTCCTGAAGAGTGAGAAGCCACCACCCCCACAAGGTAACAAACCACTAGGCGCCTGAGGTCACCAGCATGCCTCAACAGCTTCCTCCATTCCCAAGTATCTGAAGAGAAGAGAGAGGGCGTCAGGAGGACAGGGTGCTGGGACCCAGTGGACAGGAGGGGAGGGTTAGGGACCCCAAGAACCAGGAGTGGGAGAAAGCCTCCTTTCTGGGTGTCTCTCATTTCTGGTCCTTCTTAGTGCTCTCTCCCCTCTCTCCCCCCATCTTTCTTGGCCTCTTGGAGCAGGAAGCTAAGGATGAAGGGGGTGAACGTCTCTATGCAAGAAGCTTGGCAAATGTACACTCGGCCCAGAGACCAAGGACTGCAAACCAGGGAACGCTGAGGGCTGGTTGTGGAGGGAGGGAAGAAGTCCATGTTTGGAAAACAGGTGCTCCAGACATTCCTGCAGTGCCCAGGCCCCTGGCCCAACCAGCAAGCTCAGCCAGGCCAGACAGGGTGCTGGGGGAAGTTCCTGGGCTTCTGGTCTGGGTTCCTATGTGAGAGGCACCACCCACAGGAGCTGCAAGGGTCTCAGTGGACCTCTGGGTTTCCTCAGCACCGGACAAGATGGAATCTAACCGTTCTTCAAACTGGTCCCCTAGGCCTGCACCAGTACTTTTCACATACAGCACTAATGTTCCTTTTTACCCAGTTAATGACAGTTCAGGTGCTCACATGATTCTCAGTTTTGCCTAGACCAGGGGCCACCTCCTCCACGACAATTTGGGGTTTGTGATGGTGTGTGGTCAGTGAAGCACTGGGGTGGCACTGCTGGCATTTAGGGGTGGGATGCATGGTGGGGGGCGGGAGGTACAAATGCCCAGCACTGCACAGGGCCAGAAAGAATGTATTTTTCCTAGGGGAGATGGATCTTGCTTACAAAAATTCTCTAACCCTTGAAGAACCTAACTCAGTTGTATATAACACAAGGCAAATTTTGGGGCACTTTTAATATCTATTAAATTTTCCACAAGGAAAGACAGTTTTACGTAAATTTGGGAGGTTAGTGGTAGACTAGCATGGTGCTCAGCCATGATTTGATAGCCAGCACCACAAAAAAGGAAAAAAATTGCTCCAAACTTTGCCAAGAGTTTTCACATCTTCAGAAAATCATGACACTGATGGTGAGGCCGCCCACTGTCAGGCCTTGTGTCCCGCTGGCTCAGTTATCTGTGGCTGTCATGGGGCTTATGCCCAGAGGGACTGTCCCCCTTGGAGAAGCAGTCTCATCTCGATGTTTACATATTCAAATGTCATCCCTACATTCATTATATATTACTCCGCTTTTTCCTCCATGGCAGCTACAGAATTACACAGGTTCAGAAACACTAGGTAGATTGTGGGAATCTACAAACTTTGCTGTAGGAAACTAAAGTGCAAAATAATCACTCTATGAAAAGGGTGCTGGCCTGGCAGGTGGGACCTGGAGCCTAATCCCTGCAGGAGACAGCCAGGACTTGGTTTCCTTTCCACCCCTTTCGTGGTTCACATCTACAATCTTACTGTAAGAACTCTGTGGTTCTTACAAACAAGCAGAAGAATCCACATGAACGCTTAGTCCCGGTAGCTGTCAGTGAGTCAGGGAAGTGTCCTGGGTCTCAAACCCCAACCTGTCCCGACTCTTACAGTGGCCTAGACTGTGTCAATCACAGCTTGTTCTCAGGTGGAAATTTTCTGAGGCACAGCAGAGATGTGCCTGCATGGTGGATCTGCACCCTCCTTCCTACTCCTGGCCTCCTTCACCTCTCCCACTCAACAATTCACACCTTCTGGGTTCCCCCCACCCCCGCCCAAACCACATGGTAATCAGAGAATCAGTGAGTGTCACTGCTCAAAGGGACCTCAAAAGCCTCCTCCAGTTCCAAGCATTTGAAGTAACAAAATCTCCAACTGCATCTGGCTCTCAATACGTGCCACTTGATACCCTGGTACTGATTCCTTCAATACTCCCCAGATCTCATGAGGGAGGTACCATCATCATCATCACCACCACCAGGTTTTACAGACAAGGAAACTGAGGCACAGAGAGGTTAAGTCATTTGCCTATGTCACCCAGCATGTCACTAGCAGAGCTGGGACTCAAACTAGGGCAGGCCGACTCTAGAGCTTAGACTCTAATGAATGCCCCAGAGTTCCACAGGCACGGGAATCCCTACTCTCCCACTTGGTCATCCTGCCTCCTAGGACCAGTGAGACCACTGAGAGCTGAGAATGGACGTAGGAATGGTTTATCAATTCAGCCTCCGAAATCTCAGCGCCAGCCTCGCCTGCTCTGCTTTAAGAGCACGCAGTTCAGGGATGCTTTGAAAACCCATCCCCTTCCCTGGGGGAACTGGGGTGGGCACGGGTCTGTGGGCATGCAAACCACGGAGACATCATTTTCAGCACACACAGGCCAAGGACATCTTGCTAAGTCAGAGAATCTCCTCTCTTCTCCTTCCATCGCTCTCATCCCAGGACAGGGAGGAGCTGGGAGGGAGAAGGAAGCATGAGTTCCTGCCGCCTAGTGTTGCTCCTGGGACCCATTTCTCTTTCTGCCTGCTTCCTCCCTCTGGAGTGCAGCCAGAGCGACCCCCCAACACACACCTGGGCCAGCCTTGCCCACTGCCACCAACCTGCCCCAGTGACTCTCCACTCCGGGCTGTGATTAAGTTGCAAAGAGCTGGAGAGATTGGGGATGACAAAAGGGGCTTGAAGACTAATTAGGAGCAGCAATGAAAGCTTAATTCATAAAAGCAAACATTTTCCATCCATCAACCTGCAACCAGTTAAGGGCACCGTTTGAAAGAAATCTGTGCGTGGGGAAGGGAGCCAACAGGAACAGGAAATGTTTGAAAGAATGTAAACTATTTCAGTTTCATAAAAAGTAACAAGTAAACAGTTATTACATGCAAATAATGCCCTGGTTTTAATTAATGCTGAAAAGTCAAAGTATGTCTGACATTTGTATGTATACACTGAGCGGCTGGAGAGGGCAAAATGGTGCCCAGATGCCCTGTAGGGAGCAGGCTGGCGGCTCTGAGGGAACTAGTGCCTTGAGAAGCCTTGTTTATTGGTGATGAAAAGTACAATTCTGCTCCAGCCGGCAGCCCCAGCCCTCAAGGGCAGTCTGGGAGCAAGGGAACTCAGCTCACTTCTTCACCCCAAGCAGAGGCTGTCTGGGGCCAGGGAAGGGCAACTTCTCTGCCCAGCCACTCCTGGCTGGTTTTAAAGGGCCAGCAGACCCCCAAGTCGCCGTGTTGCCACCAGGCAGGGTTTCCAGGACTCCTCCGCCCAGCAGCTGAGTGATGATGGGTTTTGGGTCCCCGCAGCCTCCCACTCAACAGCCCCTGGCAACAGCCACTGTGGCGTCTGGTGCTGCCTTCCTGCTGCTGCAGCCGCTGCCGGGAAGATCAGACAGGCAGGGCAGCCACTGGCTTGCCTCTGGGGCAGGAGATGGCAGCCCTAACACATCCCACACTGCATTCATCTCTCTTCTGAACCACATTAGGGCTTAGGGGGCTTCAGGAGACCACAGCAGGGGGAGGGGGATGGCCTCAAAGTGAGGGGAGCTACTGCCCCTGGGAGAGGGTGGCTAGCGGGCTACAGATCAAAGGCTCATCCTCTGAGCCTTCAGCCAAAAGACCTTCAAGCTCCCTTTCTGAGCTTGATAACTCACAATCTTTCACCATCTTTTGTGGGACCAGAGGTGCTTAACCGGGAAAGAGGGGCGGCATGGAAGGCTTCCGGAGTTAGTAAGGTCTCCAGAAACTGGGAGAAAATTATCTTTGCCACATAAGAGATCATGAACTTCCTCACATCCTCAAAGAAGTCCTAACAGCCGAAGGAATGACAGAGTGCTACTGCAGACAGACTGGGTTCTGAAGACCTGTTTCTGGACACCAAGGCCTCTCTCAGTTTCCTTCCCCAACCTGGCCATCACCAATCTCCCAATGTCCAGGGGCCAGGTCTCCCTCCCACTCACCTCGCCCACTGCGGCCCACAAATCGAAGGTCGTTGAATCTGGCCACCTGGTTTTTCATGACGGCTGAGGCATTGCGCAGTTCAGCAGAGTAGTTCTCGTCATTGCCTGCCATCACAGTCACCACTGTTCCATCTGGCACATCCCCCAGTGCCACCACCTGAGGACACAGAGAGAAGGGGACAGCTTAGAAAGGCAGGAGAAAGAGGGGAGGGGCTGGGCTGGCAGCTCCCTTAAGTACCAGGTGCACTGCAGATTTCTCAAATGCGGGGAGGGAGAGGCTTAAAAACAATGAAGACCTTGCCCAAATAGAACAGAAACAAAAGATGCAATCTCTACCTTCTGTTCTAGTACTATATCAACCAGTGAGCCTGTGTCCCAAGAAATCATCCTTTCAATTAAGTAAAACTAAGGGAGAGCTAAGAATTAGCTCATTCACTCAGAGGTGGGACGCACTTCCTCTGTCTTCCTCCACTAGAGCAAAAGAGGAATCAACATGCTCCTAGCAACCACATCTCCAAGTAAAAGGAGTATCAACAATAATAATAACAGGACTGCTCCTTATGCTCTGTTTATGCAAGAGCCCTGTGGCATATGAAATTTGGCCCTGAAATGTAGCCCAGGCCCAGTTTATTGGGCTCGGCAGAGCTTGACTTCGTTATGCAGAGAAAATGCAAAACAAACTGCTGTTTTGAGAAAGGTCAGTCCAGAAAACCCCCGTAAAGTAGGAGGGGAGCTTCTGATATCAGGAGGATGCACCTGCTGAAAACTGCATGCTGGGTGGTGATGGCCCCCACCCCCAGGCTGTCTCCCCCAGCTCCTACCCCAAGGAGCAGAAGAGGCATATGCCTTCTGAAAAGGAATCAGATTCTAAATAGAGTCACAACTATTTAAATGTGGCCGCCGCGTGCAGGGACTGGGGATCCAGATGGTAAAAATTTCAAGGAGAAAATGTTTGGGGTCTGATTAAAAAGGCCAGATTTCCTGTCAACATCCTGTCTTCTTTTAATTTCAAAGATTCCTTTTAAGCTCCAAGTGACAGTAAAACCTCCGATCTGACGATTACAGTCACACGGGCCTCCTCCCCCTCCTCCCCGGGAGATTTTCCCCAGTGGTATTTTAAGATGTCACCCGGGAGACCTCAAAGAGCCACTAGTTCTTTTTTTCCAATTCAGAGTCGTCTTAATGGGAGCCGGGACGGACTCAGCTGCCAGCAGCTGCCTTTTCCATACACCTCGAGCAGCCACCTCCCCAGCCGCTGGCCCTTCCTGCCCTGCCCTTTCTCACGGCAGCTGTGAGAGGTTTAGGGGAAAACCAAAGCGTTTTCGTTTCATCTCGCTGCTCCCTTAAAAAAATGAAAATGAAACGGTCGCCTACTCCTTGACACTGAGAAAACTATTTTCTGAATGACTAGGGGTTGCCAGGAGTGAGAGCACCCCCAATCTCAGCCTGCCATTCTGGATGCAGAATATTCTGGCAACAGCTGCATCCAGATGCGGTGCCACCGATCCTGGCCTACAGTGGGTCCGGTAGCGGTAGCGAGTGAGAAGCTGGAGCTTGAGGGTGTGAGCAGGAAGTGCTTCTGAAGCTGCGCAGGAGGAGGGTGCTGGCAATGGAGGCTAGGCCCAGTTCACCCTCTGCACCCCACCTCCGGTGTCCTCACCCTGGTCGGGATCCTCTTCCCCGTTGCTCCGAGGGCTGGGACCCAGGGAGTCCGACCAAGGAAAACTAAGCCTCATTCTCTCCTTTCTGCATCAATGTCCTAGTGCAGGGCTGCCGGAAGCCCAGGAAGAGGGGCGCAAAGCCCCTCAAAGTTATGGGTTCAGGGCGCATCCAGGAGGGACCTTCAGAATCCGAAGGACGAGCGAGCGTGCAGCGCAGCGAGGCCGCAGAGGCTCGGGTGCGTCCCCTCCGCAGTCCTCTCGGGGCCTGGCTCCTGCAGCTGAGACGCCAGGGTCCCCCCGCCCCGGGCCCCGCACTCACCTTGAAGGCGACGGGCAGCGTCTTGTTGCACCGCCAGTGCGAGGGCAGTACGGAGCAGAGGAAGTTGGGGCTGTCAGTGCGCACGAGCTCGCCCGCGTGGTCCGTCAGCACGTCCACCATCGAGCGCACTTCGGGCCGGGCGCGCCCGCCGGGCCCCACGGCCGCTTGCGCGCTCAGCGCGCCGCTGTTCTCGCCCATCTTGCCGCCACCGCCGCCGCCGCCGCCGCCGCCGCAAGGGAAGGCTGTGGAAGGAGGTGTGAAGCGGCGGCTGGTGCTCGGGTCTACGGGAATACGCATAACAGCGGCCGTCAGGGTGCGAGCAGCGGCGCGGAGACCTCCTCGGCCGCCTACGCCACGAGACGCGGGAAAGCAGAAGCTGCGCGGCCCGGCCTCGGCGCCTTTGCAGGGGGCGGCGCCGGGGACGCTCCGCTGTGATCGCCCCGCCGCGAGGCCGCGCTGCCCCGACGGACTCGCCCGCTAGTCCCGCATCCAGGGCGCGCGGCCCCTCTGCGGCGTCCCGGCTGCCTGGGCCACGGCGGGGCCCCGCGGGCTGTGCCGCCGCCGCCCGCCCCGCCGCCCGCCCCGCAACCCGCGCGGCCGCCCCACAGACTTGGCGGCCGCGGCCCAGGAGAAATCCTGGAGAACCGAGTGGCAGCGCCGCGGTCGCCCGCGCGGGGTTAGTACCCCGGGGCCCGCGGGGCGGGGCCGCGCGAGCGACGCGTGGCGCAGCCAATTGGAACTCTGGTCGCGGGCACCTCGGCGGCCCGCGGGGGAGGGACCCCTGGAAGGTCCCGCCCCGCCGAGGACGCCCCGGGTCATGGGCCCGGTGCGGTCATCCAGGTCCCAGAGAGTTGGGAGCAGCCGGGGCCTGTGGTAGAAATGTGTGGAAGGCTCCCCGGCCGCCATCTCCAGGGTCGCATCTCCCTCTCGGACGGGGCCGCTACCCTTTCTTCTCCCTTCCAGCAGCCACGGGCTTCCAGAGCTCTGACTGCTTTGGGCGGGTGACGCTGGGACCCTCAATGGGCGCCGCGGGGACCCAGGCCGGTGACAACGCGCAGGGAGCCATCCCAAAGAGTTCTCTCGCTCCCTCTGCCCCAAAACTATTTTGAGCCCAGAGCCTCCTGTGCGCCCGGCATGCCACGTGCCCAGCCCCGCGCGGCTCTGGCCCGGCCTGGCCTCGGTGTGGTCCCTGAGCCAACCTGGGAGCAGATGGAAGGGAGTCCCCCACGGGCCTGCAGCCACCTGGGTTAGACCACCCGTTCCTCGCTGCCCTCTCCTCCAAAGTTTCGGGATCGTGCAGGCCTCGAGGGAGGCATCGTTCTTCGTGGTGACTCTTTGAAAACGTGGAGAGGCCTTCAAAACGCGTGCTTTCCGGATTTTTTTTGCCACACATGTAACGACTGTCTGGGTTTTTTTCCCGCTCCATGCATGTAACCACCGTTCTGCACTGTGGAAGAGGACGAAGGCAAGCAGGAAACTGCGAAGCGGCTGTAATGCTAAGGACCCTGGCTTCCAAAGAGAGTTCTCATTCTCCACGTCGATGACAAGTGGCCCCCGCGAGTCCAAGCCCACGTCTTCTTGGTCCATGCGCTAAGGCCGCGCAGCAGGGATCGGGACAGCTCTGCTGGGGCCTGTTTGCTACCTGGCTGGGGGCCGCCGCTGCGCTACAAATAACCCTCTCCTCTGTTTCCCAGACCAGGTGAGCGCGGAAGGGGAACAGGAAAGATCAAACCCCCATTCGTTGGGAATCTTCGATCCAGATGCACTCCCTGGACTCAGGAGAACGAACGCGTGCCGATTCTCCCGCGCATTGGAGATTGGGCTGGGTTTTCGTCGCCTGCAGTGTTCGACAGGTGCAGAACAGCAAATTCCAAGGCTGGGGGCAAAGCAGCGTAGGATTCGATGGTGGCGGACAGATCTCATCCTGGATCTCGCCTCTGCTCAGCGCGCGCCAATTCCACGTAGCCAAACGAAATCAGACCCCAAGTGCACGCCAAGGGGGACGGACTCCGGCCCAGCCCCGACCACCTCGCAGGAGAGCCTCGCTTCCCCCTCGCTGGCCTCGTGCCAGCCTCGAAGGTCATCGCGGAGGCAGCGAGTGCTCCTTACTGAACCTTTCAGGAGAGCCTACTCCTCGGAGTTGTCGCTTAGCGGCCAAGGCCCGCGCGCCCTCGGAAGGGCTGAGCAGAGCTGCAGAATCTGAGGAAAGCGAGGGACTCAGCCTCGATGCCCGTCGGCTCTGGGAGCTTCCCCGGGGAAAGCCCACTGCGCTTCGGCCAGGTAGGGGCCTGGGCGGGCCACCATGCAGTCCTGGAGCGGCTGTGCCCACGACCTGCTGTCTCTAGGGTTTGTAAGTTCCATTCATGGAGTGGTTTCTGTTTGTATCCGGACCCTTTCCTTGTTCCTCCGCTGATTTTTCTCTCCACCTGATTTTTTCCTTACCCTACGGCGAGTTTTCGAACGGGTTTCCAGGAAATGGGACTCTTATGGGCCCCAGGACCTGGCACAAGACCGGGCACAGCCCCACTCCTCTGGAAATCACCCGTAGCTCACGGTCACCAGAACCTAGGGACCGGGGTTTCTGGCCCTTTGAGCCCCCAGCGGGGGGTCGCGGGGGCCGCTGGGGCCCGAGCCTAGGCGGAAGCCACCGCTAGTTGGCGCCTGCGCCCTTCCAGCCGCGGAGGTGCCGGCCGTGTCCTGCGCACACATGTGCACCAGCTGTAGTCCCGCTGTCCTGGCGTGGCGGGCCGCATGCTAGGAGCTGCGTTTCTGGACAGGCTCCCCGTCCGATTCCTCGACATCTGTGCGGCGACTTGACTTCTCGGACAAGCGGATGGTTTTGTGTCAGAAGGTCACCTTCCCCACTTCGGATGGACAGACCTGGAGGGCCCCGCGCTCTGCCACCGGCACTCCCTTTCCGCCAGGAGTGTACAGTCCCTTCCGTCCCATTCTGGGGGCAGAGCAAGACGCACAGAACAGTCTGGGTGGTAGTCAACTTCCACCGACACCCAACCCGCTCCCTCCGCCCCTGGACAGCCAATTCGACTGAGGAAGGAGGGCTCCTACCACCCACCTGGACGCCCGCACTCTCTCACCTCCCTGCTGGCCAGCTGGCTCGCTGGCTCAACAACAGTCTCCTCTCCCTCTTCTGCTCCGGGGATGGACAAACAGCCTCACCTAAGAGCATCTCAGTGTGTCTAAGGCAGGGGGAGGAAGCGGAAGGCGAGGACACTCCCCTCCCCTGCCTCTCCCAGAGCTGAGTACTGGGGACCCAGCCTGAGGCCTGTATAGCCAGCTCCTTTGCTGGTGGGGTGGGGGTGGGGGTTCATCTAGCAGTGCCCCCCAAGTTTGGTCTTGGCTCTGTCTCCAGGAGGGCCAGAGAGCTACCAAAGGCAGGTGTGATTCCAGGGAGTCCCCATGCCAGGGAAAGGGTGCCTATCCCACAACAGTGCCAGACAGGGAGAAGTCAGCTCCCGAGAAACTTCTAAGAGGTTGGTAGGCTGGGAAGGAGCATGGGTCCCCCTGCTTGAGTTTGTCTTCCTCCACCACTCACAGTAGTTCAGGGAGAGTCACAAAGCCTCTGAGCTTCGCTTTCATCTGTAAAGTGGGATAATGACACTGGCCTTTTCCTGGGACTGTGGAAAGTGCTTATCACAGGCCTAGCACCTGGGGGTGCTCTGTCCACGTGAGCTGTCACTGTTGCTAAGAGAGAAAGAAACGCTTGCCGGCCTTTGGCAATCTCTTCCCCTCTGTGGGCCTCACAGCTCCCATTTGTGAAATGTCCACTTCTCTTTCAGAGCTGCCCAGACTCAGTACCTAGTCCGTGGCCGGGGAGGGTGAGGACTGTGACCTGCCTCCGGGTGGAGTCAGCTCCAGGAGTGTCCCCTCCCCCAGCACAGGGCTGCCTGAGCCAGCATCTTGGTTAGTCCCCTTCCCCTAGGTGCTCAGACCCTCACCTTCCACAGCCCAACCCCACACCCAGGCAGACGCTTTCTTGAGTAGCACCTGGGCTTGGCAGACACCAGAGGCCCCTCCCCTCCCAGGAGACCTCTGTTTCCTTCCTCCCTGAGTCTGTGTGCAGCCCAGGCCAGTGGCAGGCATGCTAGAGGACTCTTCAGGAACAGTGTCTCCGTTCTAGCCTCCACCCCCACTGTGCCTTGCACCCTAGAACTCAAGGGGGACTCCGCGGTCCCCCTGAGCCTCCATTTCCTCTTCTGTCAAGGACAAGCTTCCCAGTGCTCCATTTGACCAGGGGTAGGACTGAGAGTGCCCTCTGGGAGGAGAGGGGCGTTGTGATTCAGTGTATCTAAAACGCCAACAATGGTTTGCTGTGAAAGAAATGAGATGAAAATTCTGCCAAGTAATCTAGGGCTCCTCTGCATCCTGATTACAGATCATATATATATATTTTCAGGTATGGTACATTAATATAAGTCACGATGTTATATAACATATCTGTACATGTATATCTTTAAATTGGTCTGGGGTGGGGTGGGAACCTGGCTGTGGGGCCACAGTCCAGAATGGATGGGAGGACAAGTATGCTTTTCTAAATCCTGGGGTTTTTATTTGTTGGTTTAGAAAGGGCCTGACTTGGAGGGGAGGAGCAGGGGAGAGTATGGTGGATGTCCCTCAGCTACTGCCACTGACTGACTGGCTGTGTGACTTTTGCCAGAATCGGCCCCCCTCTGAGTTGGGTCCTGGCTGAATAGGATGTGAAGAGCAGCGACAGCCATACTGGCTGAGTCGTGATCTCTCACAGGCGTGGTGCTTGGGCTCTGCCGGGGTCTGGTCCTCACAGTGTCCTCTGTGGTAGTGTCTCACGCATGTATAGGAAGAGGGATGTTGTCCAAGGTCTGCTCAGGTCTGCCTGGCTGGGGAGGAGCCGGTGAACAGCCTGATTGGACTCACAATATGGGGAGCAGGGAATGGAGGGGCCCAATGTATACGCAACCCCACACTCTCCTCCCAGGGCTGAAGTTGGTACACTAATCTGAAAAGTGCTCAATGAGCGTAGCCTTTGTGCTGGTGGTAAAATCTGTTCAGCAGCAGTGGACTTGGAATAGAGCAAACCCTTGAATTATCTAGAATATATAAAGAACTCAAAAAATCAGACCCCCCAGATTTAAAGACCCAATGCAAAAATGGGCGTCTGAAATAAAAAGACACTTCTCAGATAAAGAATTAGAAACCGCAAATAAAAATATGAAAAATTGTTCAACATCACTGGTCATTCAAGAGATGCAAATTAAAACAACGCTGAGATTCCATCTCACTCCAGAAAGAATGGCTGCTATCATGAAATCAACCAGTAACAAATGCTGGCAGGGATATGGGGAAAAAGGAACCCTTCTCCACTGTTGGTAGGAGTGCAGACTGGTGCAACCACTGTAGAAATCAGCGTGGAGATTCCTCAAAAATCTAAAACGAGATTCCATTTGACCCAACTATACCTCTTCTTGGTATCTTCCCCAAAGAATCAAAAGCATCATACTAAAG